AAGAGTGAAAGGGGATTTGTCTGACTTTGGGGGAACTCTATAAAAATGAAAGATATTTTGTGTAGTGGGATCACCTTTTTAATCCAAGGGGCAAAAGAAAACCGGTTTCTGTTGTGCTTCTGCCCAAAGGCCTCCTGCGTGTGACTTTCAAAGGACCCTGCTTGTGTTGAATTGCAGCCAGCAAGTCTCCAGCATACAGAATTTGAGATTTCCCCCTCCCCACCGTGTCTTCTGTTTTTGTTCCATGTAAACAGTTCCCTGCATAGTAACATAGACAAATATAGCAGAGAATGCTTTTCTGGAAGAAGAATGCTCCCTAAGCATTTTTTAACCATTTTTGGGAAGAATTGATCTTTCTGTGTGTTTCAGACAGACTGGAGAGGGGGAGGCCATGGCTGTAAATTGAAGTGACATCATATGTATTGCCCCCATTGATCCGCTTTTAGTCTCCAGCCAGGATAAAAGGAAATGGCATCAGGGAGGAAGCACGCTTCATTTAGGCACAGATCCCAGAGTGATAATGGGGTAATAATAGAACTCACGCCACTGTCAGCCCTCGGCTGCCTTCGTCCCGGGCTTGTTCTCTGGCTGGGGAGCCGCACGGTGACTTTCTTGTGTGAGGCAGTGGCGCACCAGCTGGGCCTGGCCGGGAGGTGCTCTCCTCTGCTGTCGGAGGGCTGCAGGCACTGGGGCCTGGAGGCTGCCTTCGCTGGTCTCTTGTCACAGGCCCTGCCTCTGCAAGGTCAGTCGTGAGCCATGTCCGATGCGGGAGGGGAGCTGGCCTGTTCTGATCATGCTGACGGAAGAAGTGGCGGCGGGACCTCAGTCGCGTGGGTGGTCTTCTGGGAGCGCGGAGTGAGTGACGCCCCCATGACAGCAGTAAGAGGCTTTTGGGAGAGTTGGGGTTTTTTTTGTTGAGCTGCCTCTAGTTGAGGAGGGTGGGTTTGGAAAATTCGTGTTTTCTTTCCAAGAGCATGCGTAAAACCTCTCCCAAACCCCTGGAAGTCGCACAGCTTGCGTCGACTCTGAAGCTGGGAAAACATGCGGTGGACTGTTTTCTTTGTACAGTTCTTAGTATTTAGCAACTGTGAAATCTTCCATGTCTAGAGTAGAACACAGACTTCTAAAATCCTTAGCAAGCAGCATTTGTACTTGACTGACCTCGTGTAGCATTTTATTTCTTGTATTCATTTCAGTAAGTTTTATAGTTCTGTGAAGTTCTCTTGCAAATACCCACATCACTTTGGCACCTTGTAGTCCTATTTTGTGTAAATTTCCGAGGCAGATGCATTTTAAAAATATTGAGCTGGTCTCCGTATGGAAAAAATAACCCCATCATGGATTTCTTGTTTATGCAAAGGAAAGGACTTTTGCATTCCTGTCGCTGTTGAGCTGTGGGTGTGAGCACTGTTAGGCCCCCAGAAATGAAGGCAAGTTGTTTTGATAATGTTTGAAGAAGGAGCTATTTCTTAGGTGGTGAGGCTCGGCGGTGAGGTCCTTTATTTTTCACAATCGCTCTGTGGTACGACCAAAGCCGCCTCTCTCCCCGCCGGTGCTGCTGTGTTAAACACAGCTGGCCTTTCAGTCTAAAATTCAGTTAATCTTAAAATGAATAAATAAACGCAGTTGGCCTAGAAGTCACGTGAAGTTTGCTCTGATTTCCGCGTGGTGGAAGTGGAGTGGTCCACAGAGCATGTCCCACTCCCCCATGCCTGCCCTGGGCTCCTCGCACCGCCCCACCCGCTGCTGCCTTGAGCACATCTGCTGATATGTGGTCTCTTTCAGTTGCTTTACAAACGTTTCGGTTTATTACATTACCACTACCTCTTCATTTGTAGGGTGGCTTTACGGGGAGCAAATGTTTATTTTACAAAGAGAAATGTATTGAAGCTATTTAACTACATTTTTGTTTCAGTATCCTCTTTTTAAGGTCTATTATCTCATCCTTTAAAAATGTTGTCATGTGTATTTTGCGAATAAAAGATGCTTTATTAGTTTTATTGTCTGTGTCCCAAAATAGCATTTGTTCACTGATTTTTTTTTCCCTACTTTTTTCAGAAACTACATTCCTCGCCATGAGTTAGAATAGTTACAAGTAAAAGCCGGATGGCTACAGGTTGTTTACTAAGTGAGAGTCATTTCAAATCTGTTCAGAAGAATGGGACTGAGAGAAACCTGGGAGCACGAGGCTGGCTGTGGCAGCGCTGTGGTCGGGGCCTTGTTTAGGGGGAGCAGATACCTGAGGGGAGTGTCCGCCCTTGCTCCTCACCTCTCAAATGAGAGTCAGTGTGCTCCCTCCCTTCCATCTCACGGTCGCAAGTCTGGGAGCAGAGCTTTAAAGGTTTTCATTGTGTAAAATTTGGAGAGGACAGAAGCTTCCGTTGATCCTTTTGGTTCTGTTTCTGTGTAGAGATGCATGAGCTTTCAGCTTAAAAGAAAGCTCAGATATACAAGTATGAATGCAGGTATTTTTATAGGTTCACGTATTGGTAATTGTTGGATTTTAAACTGGAGCTGTATCTGTTGGTTAAACCTAGTTGGGGTAAGTTGAGGACCAAGCTATTGTCTTACTCAGGGTTTCTTTGCTCAGTGTGTGTCTTTAGTTTAAACCAAATCCCAAACGAGAGTTCTGACAGGAGGCGTCTTTGTTAGCACAAGTGTATAACATGGGGATATGCTTTTCTTTCTCCTCTCCCCTCCCTGTAATTCTGCAGTTTGGCAGGAATGGTTCCTTCTGTATTTAGTCAGCAAACGAGGCCCCTCTTCTGGCAAAGGGTGTTCTGCTGGTCTGGGTGCCGGTGGTGCCGAGAATTGCTTCTCTGTGAGGCTGAGCCCGTTCCCCGAAGCCTGCCTGCCTTTGTCTGGAGGGGTCTCGATGCCAGGCTCCTGTTGTCCTCGGACTGTCTGTCTTAAGAAATGCTGCTCACCAGTTTTGAGTGTCTGTGGGGTAGAGCAGGTCTCCATCCTGTGGTGGCCTGGCCTGGGTACCCCTGGTGGAGCTGCTGTTTGACAGCAGCACAACAAAGGGTAGTAGTGAGATGAAGCAGGGAGAGCCCACGACTGGGGTCAAAAGGAAGGCACTGGGAAGAGGGCTCAAGGGCTGGAGGGCATTCAGTCAGTGGCCCCGGGAGACGGGTTAGGGGTGCTTGAGGCCATGGGTTGAAGGCTCAGCCTCCTGCAGAAAAGCACGTCTCTTGGAACATCATAGGAGGCTGAGGGATGAGATGAACAGCAAGGAGGAGGAGGGCAGAGGGAGAGAGGAACCAGTCTCACTGGGCTGCCTGGGCAGAAGTGCTGGATACCACACGCGCCCGGCAGTGTTCACGGTGTGAATGGTGAGGGGGCCTGCCAGAGGCTGGGGCCTGGGGTTGGCCTCTTCTGTGAAACAGATTTCATTTTAATATTGTGTGGTAGATGGGTGATTTTGTTACAAGTAGTTATGTAGTAATTTGATATCTTTAAAACATGCTGCAATTACTTGACTTCCCATGAAAAGAAATGGAGCGTTAGTAATTCCTTGGGTCGGAGTCAGTGCTGGTCGTGCTGCAGTTTTGCTGAAGGCACCTTGTTTCTCCTGAGAGAATAGCCACAGCATGCCTTTCAGATGAAGCGATGCTATGAAGTACAGAATATACCCAAGAACCAAGTGATTGCGTTGGTGCCTGTCTCCCTTCTTTCTGCCTCTGTCTGTAGGCAAGTGGGACTTTCTCAGAACTTAGAAGGGTGAGGTGAGAAAACAGATACCTTGTGGAATGGTGCGGTGGGTGTGGTGTTTGCAGTACTTGCTGTCTACCTGTTGCCCCCGCGTACCTTTTGGAAAAATATAAGTGTGTGTGTGAATGAGTGAGGGGTAAGGGATAGGGAGGGTCAGGCAGAGTGCACACTTGGGGGCAGAAAGATGAGGAGCAGGAAGGGAAACCAGCACTTTAAAAAAATTGTTTTAGAGCATCAGAAAGTGGCAGTTAAAATCCAGGTGTTCTTACGAATGTACTGTTGATGTGATACCAGCTTCCAGACCTGTAATTTGGATTGACAGAGATGATCTGCACATACACAGGGATGGAGAGAAGCTCGGCAGAGAGAGCCATGGAATTCATAGGGTAAATTTTAAAATCTTGATTTTAGAATAAATGTGTTTCACTTCCTACAAGGCGTATCTCAAATTGATTATTCCTCCAGTGCACTACAGGGCCCATCTCGCAGGGCCAGCAGTCCTAGCCCTGCTGCCCCGTAGCGAGTAACACGGATGAAGTCTTACGCGTGCTTCGCTTCATTTCTTGTATTTCGCATACATTGTGTTTTGTTTTTGTACCACGGGAAGACTACCTCCTCTCTTTGCCCTCAACTTGTAACGTCACTTTTGACCGTTCCTGTATGAGAACTCAGGAATATGGGTGACCTTGTGTGTCTGTGTGTACAGCGGCACATATAGTTGCTTACGGCCTTTGTAGCTTTTTGATGGATCATAAGTTTATGATTCTCGTAATGGAGGGAAGACAGTTCTTTCAGTATGTACTCTTTCTCTCTCAGTGTGCAGCAGGTGTATTTACAGAGCTTATGTGGTGAAAAAGGGACTGCATGCCGCGTCTTATTTCTGTGAAATTTCCAGGTGTTTGCCTATAATTGGATGGCTCCTTGAATCTTTGTCTAGGCTAAATTGTATTTTCTGGTATATGCGTGCTGTAAAGGAAGAGATCCAGTAAACCACGATAATGTTTTATTAAGATAAGCACAGTTTTGATCTGCTCTAAGTGTAAAACTGAAATGATTAGTCATGGAAAACGGGGCCTAATCAGACCCCGGAATGCAGCGTCTTCGGGAATACAGACAATATACACCCTGAGGAATCACAAAAGTCAGCTTCACAGCCTTTCCATGTTGCCGAGATATGCTGAAAGCACCCAGGTTACCCTGGGTATGCGGTCTTCAGTCTGAACATTTGGGTTTACTTTCTCATCAGCTGAATGGCATTTTCATAGGCTGTTTGGTTTTGTCTTTAGCTTCTTCCAGACCAGCTGGTCTTGCTTCTGGAGCATCTCTTGGAGCAGAAGACTCTGAGCCACCAAACTCTGCAAAGCCTCCAGAGGACATACCACCTCCAGGATCAGGATGCAGAGGTAACCAGGAACACCCCGGAGTTTAACCAGCAGATCCCACTGTTGGTGAAGGATGGTGATCCCATTGCAGCCCCAAACTATTGAAACCACCATTTCTATTAGCAAAATCCCATGTGTTTGCTGTGTGAGTGAAGAACTAAGTGCGTTAATCTGATTGTACTTACGCTTCTAACCAGAGTATTTTGAGGTCTTAAAAGTGTTTCCCTCTTCTTAAATCATAAAGATGGACATAAGTCTCCTAAAGGATTGAGTGGAATGCTTTTGAGTTGTAAACTTGGGTGGGTCATTGTGTGACTGACGGTGGTGCCGTTCTGTTGCCCATGAAGGAAACTTGGCTCCGATGTGTCAGAGCTGCTTGGTTGCATTCAGTTAGGGCAGGAAAGGAGCCATGTGTAAAGGGAACTAAAACTAAATCTAGCAGCTGTGGTTGGAGAGGTCAACTGGATGCTTGCGAGAAAGCAATGTGATGTAGTCCTTAATGTCTTCTACCTTATTGTGAGGAATGCAGTGTGAATCCTAAGACAAATTCCGGAGTTTTAAAAAAGTACAAAGTAGTAAATAATATATTCAGACATCTTAAGTAAAAACTAGAGCTTAAACAAAACCTCTTTTATGTAAGACTCCCCAAATGCAGAAAAGTAAGTTTGGTTTTGAACATTTTAAAACTGTGCAGTCTAGTACAGCAGCCATTAGCCATGTGTGGCTGTTAAACACTTAAATGCAGCTATTTTGAGTTGAGATGTGCTGTAAGTATAAAATGCACAATGAATAGTGAAGGCATTGAATGAAGAAAGACAAAATAACTTAATGTCTCCCGATTGATTATAGTGTTAGTGATATTTGGGATATATTAGGTTAAATGTTATTGTAATGAATTTTATAATCATTAAATGGAGTAATTGAGAAAAGCCCTGGTCCTTATTAACCAAAAGGTAAGATGGCCATTGTTAGGCATTTTAAAACCCCATAAACTTGAGTGATTGAAAAACTCCAGAGGAGACGTGTAGCTTTTTACCCACCTGAGCATAGACCAGATTTGCAACTGTTGCTGTTTATTTCAGCTCTTACATTTTTGTTTATAGGAGTTTTCGAATGCCAGACTGTTATTTTTAATTAGTGCTTAAAAGACTTTGCTATATACAGTCATTAGGCTGTGTTTCGATCAGGGTGGAATACCACCGAACCGCCAGGACCTGTGATGGGGATGGACAGACCAGAGGGGAGAACCAGAGCAGGCGCCGGGCACCTGTCACTTGATGTCCGGAAGCCAGGAGGTGGCCCCTTCCGTTTAGCATAAAACATGTCCTGTTCTTAACTTACAGCTCAACTTACTTGTTATATATAACCTCCTAGAACCTTTGAGAAGTAGAACAGGTTTTATTTAGTTGCTTGTTTTATACTGCGCAAACTATGTCATGGTGCTAGACAAGGCAGTCTCTTCAGCTAGAACCCTGGTGATGAGGTGCTGGGGCCTCATTACATCTTTGCCCGGTTTATATAACTAGTGTGGTCTGTGTTCATGTGATTCACAAATATTCCACTATTCCACTAGGCATCAGGAATATAGAAATGACAGGCAAAGTTAGCTACCCTTAGGAAGCTTACATTCTTCTGAAAAGACAGTTCCTGAGTAAATGAACAAGACAGCTTGAGACAAGAGCGGTGTACAGGATAAAGTCGGGCAAGGTTTCCCTAGATGGGGGATTCAGGCCACTCAGAGCGACCTGAAGGCGGGAGGGAGCTGACCATAGCGCAGGTGTGAACTCGGTGTGTGCCAGCACAGGGCCAGCAAGCCTTTTCCATAAAGGACCAGGCAGTTAATATTTCAGACCGTACGCTTTCTGTGGCAGCTCTTCAGCCTTGTTGCTGTAGCATGAAGCTGTCATAAGTAGTATAGCAGACGTGGCTGTGTGCCAGTAAAACTTTTACGGACCTGAAACTTAAATTTGATGTAATTAGCCCATCTCCAGATAATTGTTTTTTTTTCCCCACCTTTCCTTTTTATTTATTTGGAGACAGTTCTCACTCTGTTGCTCAGCCTGGAATGCAGTAGTGTGATAATAGCTCACTGCAGCCTTGAGCTCCTGGGCTCAGGCAATCCTCCTACCTCAGCCACCCAAGTAACTGGGACTACAAGCATGCGTCACCACATGTGCTAATTTAGAAAAAGAATTTTTTTTGAGAGAGATAGGGTCTCACTATGTTGGCCAGGCTTGTCTCGTACTCCTGGCCTGGAACAGTCCTTTTGCCTCAGCCTCCCACAGTGCTGGGATTATAGGTGTGAACCACCATGCCTGGCCCTTTTTCCTTTTTAAAATGATTTGGAAACATATACACCGTTCCTGGCTGCAGCCCCATCCGTGGTTTCCTTACCCCTGTGCCGGGCCTGCAGGGTTGAGGTCGGGGATGAGCAGGAGCCAAATCAAGTGGAGAGAGAGGTTAGACCCTGGCGTGTGTCTGAAAAAGGTGCCTCTGCCCAAACTCTGGAGGTCCTGGCGTGTGGTTAGTTACACCGACAGCTTATCTCGTTGTGAAGTTTTCTGGAGGTCCTGGCGTGTGGTTAGTTACACCGACAGCTTATCTCGTTGTGAAGTTTTCTGGAGGTCCTGGCGTGTGGTTAGTTACACCGACAGCTTATCTCATTGTGAAGTTTCCTTGAAATGTCACTTAGAACCAAAAAAGCAACAGGATTTTGGCCAACCAGGGTGTTTTCTAGAAACTTTTATGAGTGAAGTGTGATTTATTACAACACTAATTGTGGGAATTTCGTTGAATAATCAGCTGCCTTTAAGTGACAGGACATTTCATGGGAGGAGGAATTGTTACTTGGTAGAAAAAGTCCCAGGGATGCCTGCTGAGTTCTTGGTGCTTCTCCTTGACTAAACAAGTGAGGAGAGTCCCTTGCAGTCGCTCTCCGGGGTCTTACATACGGAATAAATGGCAGCCGTTTGAGAGCGGGCCAGAGATTCTGGAGTGAGGCAGGCTGTGTACTGAGCACACTGCGGGCGCTGGGGCCCGTGTTGAATTAGGTGGCTGGTGCAGAAACACCTGCCCAGGCCGATGGGGCAGGTCTCCAGTACAGGGCAGGGGTGTTTGGGACCTGGTGGGGGCAGATTTCTTTACCTGCTGTGGCCCCTGTATTTTCGAGATACGCAGAAAGACTTCCCTTGCTCTCCCTGTGACCGAGGTGCGTCTGTAAAGCTGCCTTTCCAGAAGGGAAGCCTGCTGCCTCCAGCTGCTCCTGCTCCTCATGGCAGAGTGCACGGAGGAGTTTTGTTGGCTGAGCAGCGTGTTCGGGATGTAGCGGCCGGAAGGGGTCTCTACTGTGAGAACCCTATTCCATGGTTGCTTTAGCTCCTGGGCCGCCATCCCCGTCTGTCCCTCCCTGCCTCCATGTGGATGGGCCGGTACGGGCCGCCCACACAGAGAAGGAAGAAAGGAGGGACGAGATTACTATTAACCATTCTATGTGCTTTGCTTCTGTGTACGGGCTGTGTTCACAGAGTGTCTGATCTGTTGGTCTGATTTTCTGAGTGTAGCACTGAGTCTGCTGTGGCTGCTTGCCAAGGGATTTCACGTCGAGGGGTTGTGGGGCCAGGGTTCTGAATACTGTCTGGGGTTTTGCACATCCTGCCTGCCCTCCGTGTGCCTGCATCACGTGATGTGAAGCCCCAGGTGTATGCTCTTCAGGGAGGCAACGGCCCGGTGTTCAGAGTGTGAAAGGAAAAGGGCTCGAGGACAGACAGAGTGAGAGCATGGGTGGAGTAGGCAGACCACCCCAGGCCACCTCCTGCCTTGCCACCCTCTGCGGGGCGGGCACAGGCAGTGCTCCTTGGTGCTCCTTGGTGCTCCTTGGCCTGGAGAGTGAAGCTGACCTCCAAGTCAGCCGTCTCATATGTAGCAAGCCTCAGGCCTGTGGGTGGACGCTGGGCTACTGCAGCCAGCACGGAGAATGAGCTGAAGGGCAATCCAGTCCACAGAAGCACCTTGTCCCTCTGCAGTTTTTGAGTATATTTCTCATATAGCCATAAAAGTTTAAAAAATATAGTTGCCGGGCGCGGTGGCTCAAGCCTGTAATCCCAGCACTTTGGGAGGCCAAGACGGCTGGATCACGAGGTCAGGAGATGAGACCATCCTGGCTAACACGGTGAAACCCCGTCTCTACTAAAAAATACAAAAAACTAGCCGGGCGTGGTGGCGGGCGCCTGTAGTCCCAGCTACTCGGGAGGCTGAGGCAGGAGAATGGCGTGAACCCGGGAGGCGGAGCTTGCAGTGAGCTGAGATCCGGCCACTGCACTCCAGCCTGGGCAACAGGGCGAGACTCTGTCTCAAAAAAAAAAAAAAAAAAAAAAAAAAAATATATATATATATATAGTTGACAGCTAACTCTGGAAAGAAGAGATGTTATCTAAGATCCCTTTTTAAGTAACACGTTTCCTGCCCGCCTTAGCAGGTCTCTTAAGCTATAAAAATAGCTGCCCATGGCAGTGAGGTGACGATCCGCGGACCTCGGCTCTCTGACCTCTTTCCCCAGGAGCTCCGTGGCTGACCTTCAGGCAGCAGCATCTCTGCAGACTCCACCGAGTGCTTTCAGACTGCGGCTGGGCCTCGGGATGGGCTTCCCCAGCGTTGTTTTGCTGGTGGCCACGATTCCAAAAGGCCCGTGCTGCAGCATGCTTTGCTTTCAGTTTGGTTGATACGCTGAGTGAGAATGTTAGTTTTCTGGGAGAAGTTGTTAGTAGCACCCGTTCTTCCCGTCCCTGTGTGGGGGAAATAGTGTCGATTGAAAGGAAGAGCACTCCTGGATTGGATTGGAGCAAGGAAGTGTGGGTGTCGTGTGTTGTGACTGTCGTCCCCGGGGTGTCACTTCGCTGGAGGTCTCTCTTCATGGTCCGGCCCTCGTGCCTGGACCCACGTGCTCGTGTGCACGTGAGCGGCTCTTTCTGCTGACTGGCAGCAGCTAATTGACAAAAGGCAGTTTCAAAAAAACAATCTCATTC